TATTATATATTGATACTCAGTTATTGGTTATTGTATTTTAAGTAGAGCCACTGTCCTAGATTCTGAATCCCTTAACCCAAAAAATCATGAATTCGCCCCGGGAACCCATAAAATTTTAATCCTCAAGTCGCCTCTAGATTGAAACAAATATGATTGGACGAAGAGTTGCAAAATTTGTTAAAAAGAGAATGACTTTTGCTCCTAAGCCATGGAAGTCTTTGTTTTCCTATTTTGGCAGGAAACATTTCGTGGAGAAAACATTCTCAAAGATTTCAAGGTAACTAAACGTAGGTAAATAGTTAAACGAACATATTTCATCATACCAAACATACTCAAACCTAGTGCAAAAACGAAAAGTAGAATTAGATATGACCTTTGTCATTCGAGTGACAACAAATATACTTATAAAAAGTTAATGGAGAGCAAAAATGCTCTTTTAGATGCGTGTTTTGAACTGGTAATAGTCACATTTTTACTCTTGCTTAGTAGAAAGCACATAACTGTGAAGTAAAAAAAAAAAAAAATCAATCAGTACTATTGACATTTGACCTCCTCTGGCCTGCTTCCTTGAACAAATATGCTGCTCTTATTGACTGTGCATGCGCCCTGATCTTTCTAACAATAGCTACACGCTCCAGTTCTTCTTCATAATCTATACTAGTATGTCCAACCACAATATTGGGAATGTGTTGGAGTTTGTGAAAATCTGAAGTTTGAAGCCTCGCACAAAATTCTTCAGGCATTCCTCGAATCTCCAGCTTCTCAAGGTTGGTCAATGATATCAACTCTTCTGGGAGCATCCTCAACGAGTAGCATTTGAAGATTTGCAGGCACTTGAGTTCTGGCATTGCACCTTTCCCTAGATTCATGTCTTTCATAGACATTAGCTGATCCACCCTGAGAAATTTGAGTCCACGAAACCCATTCTCCGATATCCTTATACTGTCATCTAGCTCATGATCAAAAGCTTGAATTAGTTTTAGAACTGATAGGTTTGTTAACTTCTCCAACACCAGAATGGAATCTGGGTGGATCTTGGAGTTGACCAAAGTCAGCTGGCGAAGATTAGGTGGAAACACACAAGGATGAGTTGGCATTGAGGCTAGTCGTCCCTTCAACTTAAGCTTGACAATATGATTCAACTTAGATAAACCAGCAACCAAAGATATCTGCAAGCTATCCTCTACTTCCAAGCACAAGGATTGGAGCCTCTCAAGCTCCGCTAGTGAATCACATAATCGATCTATGTCTAGGTTATCATCTCTTTCAATGAATAAACCAACTTTTCGGAGATTAGTCATTCTTGTCAGGTTTTCATTATGCATCCAGTGATGAACAGGTATGCTGCCTAAAGTTTGGACATTGTTCAGTAGGTCAATCTTCAATAAGCTGGGGGAATTTATATAACCAATGAGATGCCGTAAATTCTCTAACTTCCACAAGACATTAGGAACCAGCACAGAATAATACCTAGACATGGGCATATCAATCGTTTCCAAGTTTTTCAACCGACTTATCGAACGAGGAAGCTTCTTTATGCGTGTCTTCCATCCTACGCCTAAGTACTTCAAGGAATATAGTTTCCCGATACTATCTGAGATAACTTTTAAACCAGGAGAGTCTATGTATAGCACTTTGAGAAGTTTGAAACTACTTTTACAAATACAATCAAGGTTAACTAGTTTAGCAGATGAATCAAAGGATAGAAGGGATCTCATATATGATTTTGAATTTCCTAAATATTTGTACCTCTCAATTGGACAGTAAAGGACATGGTGTCGAGGTTCAGACAGGGGTATAGACTGATTAACTACTTTCTCATGGACCTCGAGAAATATTTCTTCCTTTGCTTTCATGATACAAAAGTCTCTCAGGAGATCGTGGAGCCGGCAACTTCTAACTCTGTCATCTGCTCTAACTTGGATCACTTGAACCATATTTCTGCAAATGAGCTCATCAAGATAATCCTCAGCAATGTCCCCTAATTCTTCTTCTCCCTTCTGATGAACAAGACCATGGGCGATCCATATGTGCATTAGTTGCTGCACAGGGATGTCTTTGTCTTTTTGGAGAAGGCCCAAGTAGAGGAAGCAAGATTTCAAATGGGGAGGTAAGTCATGATAACTCAACGCCAGAATTGTTGATACGCCATAGGTTTGGCTTCCAACAAGGTGTGAACCGAGGTTTCTTTGTACTCTCTGCCACTCACTTCTTTGCTTCTTCTTCCCAGCTAAGAGGCCTCCTATAACAGTGATTGCCAGTGGCAAGCCATCACATTTTTCCAGAATCTCTTTCCCAACGTCCACCAAGTCCTGGGGACACTCTCTATCCTCGGAAAATGCTTTCTTCAGAAAGAGTTCCCAGCTCTCTTCTTCGTTCAATACTTTAAGTTCATATGGTATAGTATGGGCATCTGCATGCAAAGCAACTTCCTTTCTGCGGCTGGTAAGTAGCAATCTACTTGACTTATCATTGTCAGGAAATGACCTAGCAAGAAGATCCCATGCTTCTGTGGTCCAGATGTCATCAAGAACAATGAGATAGCATGTGTCTTCCAAGCGCCTATGGAGCATTTCCTCCAAGCCTGCCTCTGACAATTTGTCCATCGTTTCCACCATCTTCACTTTATCTTCTTCTGGATTTGCCAGTTGTAAAATGAGTTCCTTGATGATCTTCGCGGGTTTATAATCTTGAGATACATAAACCCATGCCCGAGTGTCAAACTTGTCTCTGATTTGAGCTTGGTTATAAACTTCTTTGGCAAGAGTCGTTTTACCAATGCCTCCCATACCCACAATTGAAGCAACACGGAGCCGTTTGTCCTCCCTTAGAAGGATTGACACGACAGAATTCACATGCTTCTCTAGGCCAACAGTATCCTTATTCGCAACCAAGGGCGAGGAGCGTCGTAGTTCACGCATCTTCTCCCGTGTTGTGCTTGACCCTTCCCCGAATCCGAGCCCTTGAATATGCCTGATTCCATATCTCTCACGGCTGTTGGATATCTCAAGAATTGTGGTCTGGATCGATTCAATCTCTTTCCCTACTCTGTAAAGCCTGTATAGTTTCTTAGGATAGAAGGCACACTTGATGAAGAAGCTCTGTCGTTCTTGGGACTCGACTTGGTGGATGAATATTTCAATCACATCCTCAGCATGGTAGGCAACTGCTCTGATTTCAGATACCCAGTTGCGGACTGTTGCGGCTTCTTCTTCCTCTTGCTTCATATCTGCATCTTTCAGGAAACACTTCATACGGACGAGCTCGTTTCGCACTCCTTCAACTTCTTGTTGGACACTTTGCAGGAAAACAATTTTTCTTTGGAAAAGATCAATAAGCCGCTCTGCAACATAGGAAACTGCTGCTTCAGCCATCTCTTGTTTTCTTCTTTCTTGTTGTTTGGCTCCTTAGTTATCTGGACTGAAGTCTTAGCTAACTATGTGTTTCTAGGGATAGGTTGCTGCAATGTACTTTAGGGATACTTTACTTGATCAGGCATGGCATCTTCTTTTTTCTCTCTACCTTTGTGCTTTGAATAAAAATTAGGCTAAATTACGCTAAATATCCCTATAATATCACTAAGTTTCAAGACACACCTTTTGCATTTCTAAAAGCGACACTTAATACCCCTGTACAATGGAAATCCTACACAACATTAACGCAGTTAATTATCTGTCACTTATTTCAAATCTATAATAATTAATGAATGCACAAAGTTGCCGTATCTCCATTCTCATCCACAATTCCACATACACGCTCTTTACATCTCTAGAAAAAGTTAAGACATTTCGGATCGTTCAGATGATATATATTTCTCTTTCTTATTTTTCTGCTTCTCTTCTTCTGTCACTTCAAGTTTCAAGCAAAGGAACCAGATACTTGCGTAAGATATGCCCTCTATAACACGACTTTGTCCCCTTTCTACTAAACTTTTTGGACTCGATTTCTGCGGATAGTGGATTCCATCCTCCCAACACTTCTTCATATTTGCAAATCCTATTTATCTCGGCATGAGACCACAAAACATAATAAATGATCAATCTTCAATTCTAACAGGAGGCGAATCTACATGTAAAGGATGGGGTGGTACGTCACCCAGAAGCTTTGGTCGAGACTATGCAATAGTATGTATATATGCATTGTGAAATATTTTAAGTGACACCCTCATTAACAAAATGGTCGTAGGTGCACATTTTACTGTCATTCCACTTAAGAGGCTCGAGTTACAATCCAGAGTAGCACATTTTACTTAGAAGTTTTATTTGGTGCATTTAAGACCTCCTATAATTATAGGAGGTTTACTTCTTTGCTTCTTTTTTCTCTTTCCTTAACAGGTGATCTTTTTTGTTTATTAGTAGTTCCTATTGCCTTCTTCTTTGTTTATTACTAGTTTATTTTGAAATTTCTTCTCCCTTTTTCCCTTTAAACATGAAATATAAAAATCTTTTTTTTTCAAAAATCTATAAATTGATAGCGAGCCTTTTTTTCTTATACAAAATGCATAATCCATAATAGTTACGTAATATATTTGCTCGATCGATTTGTCTATATTAATTTCAAAGACGAATAACCCGAACTGAACCCCAACTAGACCAAATCGATTAACTTTATACCCTATTTAGACAATATAAATTGTAGCATGGCTACGTTAAAAATATTGTGGCATCCGGAGCTTCTAAATCCTGGATCCGCCTCTGATTCTAACCATGTTTATGAACAAAATGAACCTGGGTGATATTTACAGGAAATCATCTTGCATTTGAGTTAGATAAGCAGTCTTTAATTTAATAGTTTGAAATGGCAACAGTATAATAGGTTGTTCAATAGATCTGATCTCATGCTTAAGATAATGTTAGTTCAGATTTACTAATTCAGATGTTTGTTCAACAGATTTGATCTCTGCAGTTGTTTCTTACTGATTCAAAATTAGATCCCAAATTACAGTCGCAAATTAAAATTTGGCAGAGGTAAAAGGGTTATTTTTCATGTATCATTAGTGATCCATCTAAGAAGGAAAAGGGATCACTAACGCCAAATATTGGATTAGTGGAATAGAAAATGCCTATGGTACACTCATAAATAAGAGATTTTAACGGATCAGTGACGGTGTTATTATAGGTTTGAATAAGAGACTTTAACAGACCACTACCAGTGTTAATGTTTGTGTAGGATTTTCATAGTATAAGGGTATTAAGTGTTTTGATTTAAAACTATGAGGGTGCGCTTGAAATTGAGTGATAATATAAGGGTTTTTAGCATAATTTACCCTATAAATTAAAGCTTACCCGGGCAGGCCAGCTGGTTTTTTGTGCCCTGGTGTTCCAACTTCAAAAAATAAAGCATGGACGTACATTTATTTTCTTTTTCTATTGGTGGTGCTCTTCACCAACATTTGTATAATTGTATTGTATCAAAAAAGAAAAAGAAAAAAACAAAGGTCCAAAACGACAAAACCGAAAAGTTAGATAAGAAAAGTTAAAGGAGCATCCTATGACAATCAACGGCACAATTTTCGGGCATTCAATTGTTTATGTGTCTAATTGGGGGTAATAAGTAAGTAGAAAACTGAAAGCTACCAGACAATAATTTCGCAAAGCTCCCATTCTTTCAAAAGCCTCCAAAAACCTATTTTTTAAAATATTCCTTCAAATCACTCATAAAAAATTTAAAATTATAATCATATCCAAACATCACTCTAATTTTTAAATATTATTTTTATTTAAATTTATTTTTTCTTTTTTCGGAATTTTACCATTCTTATGTCCCAACGCCCACTAAGTATTCATTTCCTGCAAATCTAAAGTAAAGAATGGACATACACCTCCTGTATTTCTAAAACCAACACTTAATACTCATGTACGATGGAAATCCTACTCAACATTAACACCGTTAGTTAAAATCTCTTATTTCAAATATATATGAGTACCATAGGCATATTTACAGGAAATCATTTTGCATTTGAGTTGGATAAGAAGTCTTCAGTGTAATTGTTTGAAATGGAAATAGTATGATAGTTTGTTCAATAGATCTCATGCTTTTTTTCAAACCCCTCACAAATTATGAGGATATATAGTGTTTTCACACTTCTCCTCCAAGCGTGACTCGAACTCATGATCTAACGGTTGTGGGTGGAGGTATTTTTACCAACTGAGCAAGCCTCACTTGTCAGATCTCATGCTTACGATAATATTAGTTCAGATCTTTCTAGTTTAAAATGACACTAATTTAGACGTTTATTCAAGGAAATGTTACCTACTATAGCAAAGGTATCCACTTTATTTATTATAAACCATAATTATTTTAAAATATTATTTTTTATAGCTATTTTTTATAGCAAAATAGATATTTATGGTATATACTAGTATACTACCATTGAAGCGTGAAATATATTATTTATGTTTTTCCTTTATCTTTCTTTCAATTAACACATGATTTTCTCTCAGAATTTTTCTTCTTTCTCTCTCTCTTCCTTCTTTTTCTCTTCGAGCAAAATACCTGCTTCTAATCGTGAATTCTCTGGCCGAATCCTCTAGGGTTAATGCAATTGAAAATACTTCTAAATTGTTGGAAGAAAGAGGGCGAAGACGGACATTTTTTCAAAATCAGATTCCTCCATAGCAAGGAGGGACTCGTTGCTCTAAGGCTAAGGCCACTGCACGGGGAGCAAAAACGATGTCGGAATAATTCGAGTAGAGCATGGGTACTGTAACATGAACGACAGATGTTGCAATATTTTTTGCGCCAGAGAAGATTTGATGGCCGGAGTTTTTGTTCGTCTCCATTTTTAGTTTTAATACAATGTATACAGTATTTTGCTTGGCCGAAAAACGCCATTTCCGACGAACTTTCTTCTCTTCTTTGCTATTTAATCACATACAATGATACAAATCATTGCATTCTGTACAAATTCACTCAAACACATTATATTTTTGTATAAATATATTTTTTTGGGTGTATTTATGTATTTCGAAGGTCTTTATATTTTTTAATACAGCTGAATACATATGTATTGTCATGGGCTGCTTTCCATCATCGACCCATGACCCCTTGGACGCGCCCCGTGGTGTCCCGCCAAGCCTCCCA